AAAAGCTTCTGTGATGTTTCCTGTCTTGTAATATTTTAATTCAAATTTATCTATGTAATAATAAATACATTAATTATATTAATGAAAATATGAAAATATTAATTAATTCTTAATTCTCAGTTGTTGATTTTTGATTTTTTTTTTTACCAGAGTTAAAGCTTGCAATGTATTCACCATCATGGCTTGTTGCAATGTACTGGCAATTTAGATAGCTGTCAATATAAGGATATTGTTTATTTTTTAAATGTCTTTGTTGTGGCAAACCTCTAGAAATAGAACTTTGTTGGAAATAAATTGATTCATTTTCTGCTACATATTTTAAATTTGGACAGTACAGTTTCGATTTATCTGTTTTGTCTTTAATTAATGACATACCAATCAATTATTTAGTTAATTAATTAATTAATTCCACTCCATGAAAAAAAAAAAAAATCAAATTAATTGTATTTAAAATTCATCATATATATAGAATAGTTAATTTAATTTTCACGCACGTACCAAAAAATTACAATAAAGATATTTATGTAAATCAAATAAATAATTCAATAAAGATAATCAAGAAACAAACATGTAAACTAAAGTAAAAAAAAATGAATTCATATTAATTACATTATTTAGAAATTAAAAGATGTAAAAAATAATTCCAATTTTGGACAGATAGATAATCCAGACATTTTTGTCCAGTGTAAATATTTCGTAGTTTTTCGGCTATTGATATATTGATAGCTGAAATTTTTTTCTGTTATAAAAACTTTTCCTGAGGGTATCACTTCCTAATGCAAAAATAATCTTTGAGATTCAGAATTCGGTTGTTGTCCTTGTTTTTTTTTTTTTTTAAAACTAAGACTTCACTTCAAATTTATTAAACATGTTACATATAACGTTACCAAAAAAGAAATAATGACCTGCCACCCATGATACAAAGTAAATTGATGGAAGATCCAAGCCTTGCATTGGCTACCAGGATTCAAACAGGCCAACTGAATGTTTTAAGGCTAGGCCACCCACATCCTTTCTGAAGATAACCAACACACATTGGTTGTTGTCCTTATGGTTTTCGTAAAATAATCTTTAAAAGTTTTGTCGATTGACTATTTTTATTTTGCAGATCATCAATTTGACCAATAAGAATGCAAGATCGTGATCAAAAAATTATTTTGTGTTACCATTAAAGAATAAGAGATAATATCCAATTAATAAGGATAATATTTGTTAATAAAACGAAGTCAATACATAGTTAAAAGGTGACTTAAATGATAAAATAAATAAATAAAATAAAATGATAAAAGTGACAAACACTTCAAGTGGAAAAAAATATACAATTCAAACAAAATCCTGACAAAAAACAAAAATTAGGATATATATAATTCAAGAAAACGAACAAAAAAATCAGACACTTACAAAGAAACAGAATCTACTAATACATTCAATGATAATAAAACTGCCTTCCTTGATGATGTTGATATGAATGAGACTGTGGAAAATAATGATAAAGACTTTATTGTTATCACAAAACAGACTTCATTCATTGCAGCACCCTCATGAAAAAATCATCAATATAGGAATAATTTTTGTTAAAACTGCATGTTTTACTAGAGCCAGTACTCGAACCATCAACAAAAAAAAATACATGGCAAATTTTTTTGATAACCAAACTGATCTCAACTTAGCAATTTAAATAAAAATCATCAATTTGTTGAAATCAGACAATTAGAACCGAACCAACCAATGAACAAACAATGACATTAATGCATGCTCAATTCAGTATGTGATGTTCCATTTGATATCAAAATCCCTATTATTCGTTCAACATTTTCTAGATTTCAAATTGTCAGTAAAACACATGGTTTATATTAACATTTTTTATTACCTTTGCAGAAAACTAAGACATTCAGGAATTCCATGCAAAAACATGGTCTGTATATATTCTCAGAGACTCTACTTGTGTTATTCCCTTAATGTTCTCTATGCAAAGTAGCATAGATAAAAAATCCGATTGGCTATTATTGTATCATAAAAATCAAGTGAAATTACCCAATGAAAATCATGCATGCAACTTTTCAATTTTTTATTAAATTTATTTTCGTTTATTTTTATTACTTGTCTAAATCCTTCTAAAAAAAATTTTTCTTTTGTCAGGACTGATTAGATCAACAAGAGGATTGATTTCACAGCTTATTTTCGCCAAAAACTAATTATAATTATATTGATATACTTAACAATCATATAATATAGAGTTTATATAATATATATCTTGATTACCACATATTATACAAGGACCAAAATTTTTTTGGCTTACATCTTTATTCATTTTATTAATGACAAATGATAGTTAGAAATGTTATTTACTTATTATTGCTTGAATTATCTATTAGTTTTATTTTTTTATGTTATGCGTTAAGTTAAAATGTAAATCATCACAAATTTGGATGTTATGACAAATTTAGAACAACTTTGTTATTAATAAAAATCAAAATCCAATTACGCTCAGGAAAGAACAGAATAGCAGAACATTTGGGGCATGGACAATAGAAATTACTACAAAAATTGCAACTTTTCAATTTTTTATTAAATTTATTTTCGTTTATTTTTATTACTTGTCTAAATCCTTCTAAAAAAAATTTTTCTTTTGTCAGGACTGATTAGATCAACAAGAGGATTGATTTCACAGCTTATTTTCGCCAAAAACTAATTATAATTATATTGATATACTTAACAATCATATAATATAGAGTTTATATAATATATATCTTGATTACCACATATTATACAAGGACCAAAATTTTTTTGGCTTACATCTTTATTCATTTTATTAATGACAAATGATAGTTAGAAATGTTATTTACTTATTATTGCTTGAATTATCTATTAGTTTTATTTTTTTATGTTATGCGTTAAGTTAAAATGTAAATCATCACAAATTTGGATGTTATGACAAATTTAGAACAACTTTGTTATTAATAAAAATCAAAATCCAATTACGCTCAGGAAAGAACAGAATAGCAGAACATTTGGGGCATGGACAATAGAAAGGGACCAAACGTCAAAAATCATGATTTTGAGTTGATGCCACATATATATGTAACTCGTCGCAAGGAACAATTTTAGCTTAGAAACAATACCCACATTAATAAAATTTTGAGATATCTAAAGAAAACTGCAATACATATAAGAACCTAAAAATCGGTAAATGTAACACGAATTTAATAAAGTTGTACAAAATATATTAAAAAAAAAATTTAATTTTATTATATATATTTTTTTACAACACAAATAACAAATAATTAAATATATAAAAAATGACTTCTACACATTTATTTTTTAACAATGTTTTTACTGAAACACATCCCAATTTAATTGACTTGGAAGAATCCTTTGCTAATTTGAGAATAGGTTATATGCCTAATTCAATTATCAACAAAAATGAAGAAATAGTTAATGAAGCAGAAGAAAGGCATGATGAAGTGGAAGAAAGTTATGGAGAAGAAGAAAATGATTTTGAAACAGAAACTTTGTCTAAAGAACAATTAGAAAAATTCAAAAATATTTATAATAAAAATAAAATAATCAATGACCAAATTATTGACGATGAAGAGCAAATACAAATATATAATGATATCAACCATTATATAACAAATTTACTAGAACAAGTTTGCTGTCAAAAAGAATGCTTGAAAATGAATTTAAATTTTAATGATGTTAAAACTAGATATAAATGCTTTCTTGATTTAAAAAAAACTGAACAAGATATTTTTTTAAAAGGTGTTCTTTCTGCCAGTTTGAGAAATGAAATAACTGCTAAAGGAGAAAAAAGGAGGAAATTGGCAACCATTTATTTTTTTGGAGGGATTGAGGTTTGTAGTATTGCATTCACAGGTATCTATGGCATAGGTAAAAAAAGATGGAAAAATATTAGAAGTTATTTTAATGATTTTGATATACAACCAAGAACACATTCTTTAACAGGAAGAGTAGGTAATAAAGCAATATCATTTGATGTAGTTTTGGAGATTATTAAATTTATATTAAATTATTCTAATATAAATGGACTCCCATCTCCAGGTAAATATAAATTATTTGAAATTGAAAATGAAATTTTTATTAATTAATCTAAAATTTATTTTAGGAAGAAAATTTAAAAAAGACACAAAGCCTATTATATTTCTTCCAGCAAATGAAAATCATACAACTGTATTTAAATATTTTATTGATGCAGTAGAAGAAAATTCTGAAATGTATGTCTCAAATAGAACATTTCAAAGAATATGGCATACATATCTTCCAGAAATGAAATTTCTTACTCCAAGAAGTGATTTATGTCATGTTTGCAAAGAACATAGGTTCAATGCAAATTGTTGGATGGAAGAAGAAAAGGAAATGAAGGTTAGAGAATGGAACAATCATATTACATGGGCAATGAAGGAGCGTGAATATTATAGGTATTAATCATTGTATATTTTTTAATTTTTTGTTGCTGAGTTTATTTGTTAATTTTTTAGAGATTGCATAAAAAATGCAAAGGAAGCATTTGAAAATCTGAATCAAGATTTAAACCCTATTAGATCTGCAAATTCATTTAATATTAAACTTCACATTTCATGGGATTTTGCAGAACAAGTTCTTATCCCATATTCTTCACAACAAGTGGTATGTATATTATGTTTTTTATAAATAATTTTATGAAAGGTAAATAAAATTTAAAATAGATTGATTGGCAAATAGGGTAGTTCATTTTTCAAAGCCTTATATAAAGTTCAAGTATTTGGTATCTGTGAAGACTTTAGACCCAGACAGGTAATTAATTAAAATTTTTCAATTGATTTTTAAATTATATAATAAGTAATAAACATGATTATTATCTAGATTAATTATCTCATAGAAGAATCACAATTTGTTGGCAAAGGAGCTGATGCTGTTATTTCTTTAGTACATAATTATTTTGAATTGTATGGTCTTGGTGAAGAGGAAATAATCATTCATGCAGATAATTGTTCAGGACAAAATAAAAACAATGCAATGATTCAATATTTAGCATGGAGAGTGCTAACAGGTAAGCATAAAAGAATCACATATTCTTTTATGGTAGCTGGCCATACCAAATTTAGTCCTGATGGGTTTTTTGGATTGTTTAAATTGAAGCTCAAAAATTCTGAAGTTGATAATTTAGAGGATCTTGTTAATGTTATAGCATCATCAACAAATGGGTATAATGTTGCTCAGACAATTTATGATGAAAATGATGAAAGAAAAGTTTTTTTTTACAGCTGGACTGAATATTTAAAAAAAAAATTTAAACCATTACCAAGTATCTTAAAGTATCATCATTTTATTTTTAATCAAGAAGAACCAGGGATTGTATATGTTAAGAAAAGTATTGTAGATATAGACATGACCAAAAATTTCACTATAGATGCTGTTTTAGAAAAAAATATCCTTTAGGTTTAACCCTTGACAGAAAAAAGTATATACTTGAAAATGTCATTCAATATGTTCAAAATCCTGTTAAAAAAGCTTTCTATAAATTTTAAAATTTTTCTTTCTACATATTATTTTATTATTTATTTATTATTATTATTTTTTATTTTTTATTATATATATATATTATTAAAATAGCCCCTGTTTTTGTCATGAATATAGAAATGATATGCAATTTCCGAGTTTTTAGGTCAAAATCTTTTTTTACGATTTTCTCAAAATCGTGATTTTGATGTTTGGTCCCTTTCTATTGTCCATGCCCCATATAACAATCACATATTTTCGCCAGCTATATCCTGCCATTTCTTTAGTATGGTTACTTTGATGTTATGTCTTGGTGAAATTGTCATTTGAAAAAGTCCAACATTTGGAATCAATGAATCAATGAAGGTGAAGTTTTAGCAACTGGTTGAAAGTAATAGTCCAAATTCACATCCAAATTCTCCAGCTTTACAAATAATCACTCATCCATGGATCTAGAACAAGTTCTTCTTCTTGATTTCCACCAAGTTTACAAACACAAAATGCTCCCTTTATGCAAAATATTATATGCATACCCTTCAAACACTTATTTTTACAATACCCATTTTTACATACCAGTTATTTTAGCTCTACCCTGTTTTTACATACCAATTCTCAAAAAAAATGCCAATTTATTCCCATTTTTGTTAAAACCAGTTCAATTACAATTGTCCGAGGTCCTTATACTTTATTGCTCTATCTTTGGTATTGATATACATAATAATAATTTGAGGCGCAGAATATAGTAACAGCCCTAACTGCAAAAACGTGATTTTGAGAAAATCAAAAAAAAAATTTGACCCGAAAATTCGGTATTTGTATATAATTTCCATATTTATAGTAAAAAAAATAATAACAATAATTTTGTTAACACTCCAACATCACTTGGTTCTACCCTACACTTACCAGAACCTACTACAGTTATGAATCGTCTTCCTCCGCCTTTGATAAACAACTTCCTTCCTGTAACTGGTAATATTTTAGAAGATTTTCGTTCTCATTATACAAATGAACTTGTGATGAGGAATAATGAAATAAAGTCATGCAATGAGAAACTAAATTCAATTCAAAATGAAATCAAATCAACCCATTCTACAATTCAAGAAATAAGACAAAATACTAATGACTTAGATGAAAGAAAAGAACGTGTGAAGAAATTAATTGCTATTATAAAAGAAAAGATCGAAAAACAAAGCAAAGAAAGATTAGATGTTTTGATTGCTGAAGAAATGAAAAAAATCTCACTATCTAATGAGTCAAACACTTCCTTAATTTCTGAAAGGTAAGATTTTAGATAGTATAAGAGAGGGAGAGAGTGTGTGTATATGTATGGATATTTTATTAAACAATTTACTAATTGCCTTATAAAAATGATTTTTGCCAAGATAGAAAGAATGAAGAAGAACTTCATCAAGCTTTAGAAAACATTATTAATGAGAGAGATCAATTAATTAACAAACTGGTAGAAATGAAAACATCGCCTAAAGCGTCTACACTACCTTATAAATGGGTTTTTAATAGTATCTTAAAGGAAAATGTTTTTGTAGACAAAAACAATTCTAATTGATTTTGCTTTATTTTTAAAAATTGAATATTAAAATTTTGTCACTTTAACAAATTAAAGAGTTAATAGACAATTTTACTATTTATATATTAAATGTAAATGTGTATATTTTTTAAAAAAAATAATAATTCATATCTCATTATTTTATAGGAATAAAAGAAATATTTAATTTTAGACATTGATTTGATTTTTTTATTTTTTGATCGATACTGCGTTTATTTATTACATATTTTAATATATTATTACTTACTATTTTTGGTTCCTTGAGCACTTTACTAGACGGATCGCTTAAATTCGTGCTTTGGGTAGTACACGTATTGTTATAATGATTCAATGATTCAAAATAAAAAAAAAATGTCTGATTATCAATCTCTTACTACCCTTATTAAACGTTTAGAAGCAGCCACTTCTCGTCTTGAAGATTTAGCAACTACGGGAAGTAGTAATTCAACAAGTAGTACTACTGCTCCCGCCTCAACTACTACTATAGGAGGACAACAACCAACAACTACCACTTTGGTCACTTCAACAACCAATAATAATGATAACGATACAAAGAACGAAGTAAAACTTACACCAGCTCTTAGCGCATATGATGAACTTATTGAGGGACCTTTGAAAAACTTTCTTGAACTATCTAAAACCATCGGTGGTCTTGTTGAAGATCAGGTAAAATAAAGAAATGAAAGAAGGAAGATTATTGTATTAAAAGTCTTGTTTTTCGCAAAATGATTTATTTTACAAAAATAATTAATTATTACTAGAGTCATGCTGTCAAAGATATTTTTATAGCTCAACGAGATTTTATATACATAGCTTCACAAAGTAAAAAACCACAAACATCAGAAACATTTGTAAAATTAATTAAACCAACTCAACAAGCGCTTGAAAAAGTATGTGAATATCGTGAAAATAATCGTCCATCACCATTTTTCAATCATTTATCAACTGTTAGCGAAGGTATCGGTGCATTGGGATGGGTTACATATGAGACAAAAACTGCTCCTTTTGTTGGTGATTTAAAAGATGCTTCGCAATTTTATGCTCATCGTGTTATTAAAGAATTTAAAGACAAGTAAGTATTATTATTATTATTATTATTACAATGTGTGCTGAAAAGATTTTCTTATTTGGTATTGTTTATATAAATAACGGTTTAATTAAAACCATATTTTAATTACAGGGATCGTTCTCATGTTGATTGGGCAAATAGTTTTATTTTACTTTTAACTGAACTTCAGAGTTATGTACAGACTTATCACACTACTGGTCTTGTATGGAATCCAAAGGTTTGTAATAATTAATTCAAAAATATTTTAATCACTAAATTATATTACATTAATATATATATGTATAAATACATTTTGATTTAATAGGGTGTTGACCCAAGTGAATTCATTGGCAGAAAACCTGAATCAACATCAACAAAACAAAACACATCATCACAAGGTGGCCTACCACCGCCGCCACCGCCACCACCACCACCACCACCGCCACCCTCAAATTTTGATTCATCTAAACAAGTTGGAGAAACAGTTGATATGACTCAAGTTTTTGCTGAACTTAATCGTGGAGAACAAATTACATCCTTACTAAAAAAAGTTGACAAAGATCAAATGACTCATAAAAATCCAAGTTTAAGAGCTAGCAGTACTGTGGGCGAAGTTGGAGGTAAAAAAAATTTTTTTGATTTATGAATCTTTATTATTAAATTTGTATATATATTAAATGTCCATTTATTGAAATGAAAAAAAGTCAAGGTACAACAACATAAAAAAGGACCTACAGCACCACCAAAACCTGCTTCGTTATCTCTTAAGAAACCACCTAAGAAAGAATTGAAGGGTAATAATTGGATTGTTGTAAGTGTGAATTAATGATTTTATTTTAAGAAAAAAGATATTATATTAAATGAGTAAATTAATTTAATAAATACTTATTTTTAAATAGGAATATTATGAAAACGAAACAAATATTGTTATTGATGATACTGTAATAGGCCAAAAAGTTTATATATTTGGATGCAAAAACTCTACGGTCCAAGTTAAAGGCAAGGTTAATGCAGTTACAATTGGTAAGCTACACACACACATGCATACTATCTGTTTTCTTTTTAAATCCATAAATAATAAATAATAAACATATTTTTGTTATATAATAAGATTCTTGCCAAAAAACTGGTCTTCTTATTGACTCAGTGGTGGCAGCAGTTGATGTTGTCAATTGTAAATCTGTTCAAGTACAGGTACAAGGAAAAACACCAACAATTGTTGTAGATAAAACTGATAGTGCACAATTATACTTGTCACCAGAATGTTTAGACACAGAGTTATTCACAGCTAAAAGTTCATCAATCAATGTCAATGTACCCAATCAGCAAGAAAATGGTGATTATCTTGAACTACCAATTCCTGAGCAAATTAAAACTACCATTAATGGCGGAAAATTGGTTTCAGCTCCAGTTGAACATAGTGGATGAAATAATAATAAAATAAAAAATTAGAAATCATTATTATTCCTACCTATTTATTGGTAATATCTTTTTTATTTATTATTATTGTTAATTATATTTGTTTTTAATGTGCTTTATACAATAACTATGTTATTATTCAATATTTTAAATTATTTTAAAAGTAAATGAGATGTTTTGTGTTTATATATAGCAATCAACTTGTAAATTAATGACTATATAATTCTATACCCCACTTGGTGATTTTGCGGATCACCAGAAATAATTGAATAAGTAAAGCATATTCTACTTTTGTATAATATACTCAAATGCTATGGTGTGAATAGTTTTACAAGACTTAAAAGTCAAACCAAAATTTTTTTTAAAGTTTTCTCATAAAACTTTAAACAAATAATTGATTGGGTAATTAATAGAAAATGCTTCTATCATCTAAAACATTTAAATTATAAATTCCCAAAAAGATCCATCAAATATTTGTAGAGAATTCATGAAAAATGTAAAAAAAAGAAATATAATAAATTACTGTCAAAAAAGATTTGGAGATTTAATTTTAGTTTTTAAAAAATAAAAACATGTTTAAAATAAGAGAATTACCAGTTGCTTGGAAATGTGGTGTAAAAGATGGCAGAAAATTGAAAAATCCAGATTATATTGTTGTCAAAATTAATTTGGCTTTGAATTCAATTCCCAAAATCTCAATTTTAATCAATTGATTGCATCAAAAAGTCATCTGATCAAGACAGGAAAAAAGTGGAAGGCCTAGAACAATTTCTGAGAGATGTCAATGCACCAAAACAAAATAGTTGAAAAGTTTTGCTACTGAGTTTACACAAGAGTTGAATAAAGCTCTTGAGGCCTGTGCTGTCCAAAGATCTCTGCATGAGAATGGATATTATGCATGCAGAAAAATGTAACCATTGCAAGTATGCAATCTGAGTTACTTACTTACCAGGTAATTCTTATGTTTTGCATATGGCTGGTCTTACTTTGCCCCCAAATTACAGCCCATAATTATACCTACTGACCCTAAGTTCAAATATCAACACATGTCTGGTTTTCCTAGAACCTCTAAATTACAGTTGATCTCGTTCTACATTACAAGGAGAAATTGGCAACCATATATTGATATATTCAAATGCTATATTTGTCTAATGCAACTTTTATATTAAACGTAGATCCACAATAAATTGTCCATTCATTTTTTTTAGATTCAGAAGAAGAAAGTGAGGTATCAAATGTTTGTTGAAATTGACATTGATATATACAGATTTTTCTTAGCTTTATGTATTTTGTTATTAAGGTGGTCATCAACCTTGACTTTCATATTCAATCAACAGAATGGTCACAAAATTCACAAAATAAAATTCCATTGTTAATGTGAAATTCACCAGGATTTTCTTCTACTCTAGTATTGAATGTAATGTACAGTACTTCTTCTATTTATCATGTTCAGTGTTGAAATTTAGTTGTGTAACTAGTACAAATTTAGAAACTATCTCCAAAAATTAAAAATTTGATTGTTGTGTAATGTTACACCCCGCATTCCCCGCATTGAATTTTCAACACTGATCATGTTATATCAAATTCCCATTTTTTATATTCAGCAGTACATTATATTATTTTCCGTTTTTAAACACACATTCTGTGATTTCTGCAGCATTCTGGGCAGTCCCCGCCCACTACTGATTCATAGACAAATAACAATTAAAATTTAATCGATAGTCCATTGATCAATGATAGTGATAGAAATTTAATTTGTGAGCCTTTTAACAAAATATAATTTAAATTAAAAAAAAAATGGGCATTAAAAGAAAATCAAAAATTTGGAAACAAGGGAGGCGGAACAAAATTCTCCAAAAAAAATGAATAATTCATAATAAGTATTTTTTGAATAAAATTCTTTATTCATCATTAATCATATTTTGATAAAAATAATTGAGAATTACTGTTAGAACTAGCAACATTGTGTTTACAATGTTGTAATTACATTATTATTTCTTTCATTATTTTATGTTTTTTACATGGAGCCCATAGTTGCCAAAGTGTAAACTATTTATTCTAGTACTGTAATATAAGAAAAGAGAATATTTTTATATTTTTGAATAAATCAAGTCCATATCCACAAAATTCTATCACTTTATGGATATATAGAAAGTCAGTACCGTATTGAGCTTTGAAAATTTTTTTTCAGACTTTCTATAGTCAGGACACCTAGTCCCTACAACTTTTATTAGTCTTGCAAATCCTTTAACTCCTCCGAAAATGGAAATGTGTGACCTA